AAACATCAAATTCTCTGTAGAAGACAAAACTATAGAGCTTTTAGAAAACATTTCAGAAGATAATCTTCCTGATCTCAGGACAAGGAAGATTAAAAAAAAAAAAAAAAAAAGACCAAAAATCACTAACCATAAAGCAAAATATTAATAAATTTGACTCATTAAAATTAAGTACTTCTGTTCATAACCTCACCCTCCCCACCAGAGACTTCTGTTTTGATCTGTTGATTTCTAAGAGGTGTGTTTCTTACGTGAGTATAACATCGTGTTTTACCAATTACTTGCTTACCATTGTTTGCATTCTCTGTTCTGGTACAAAGCTATGTTTCTCTTGCTGGAACTCATACTTCGTTAGTAGCTATTTCACAGAAGTCTGTTGGAGGTAACTTTCTGAATCCTTGTATGTTGAAAATAGTCTTTTTCATTGCCACTCTTAAATGATAATTTTGTTGGGTATAGAATTCTATGTTCAAAGTTATTGTCCATCAGCTCTGGCATTCAGTGTTGTTGATGAGAAGCCTGGTATCAATCTGATTCTTATTCCTTTATAAGTAAACTGTTTTTTCTTTCTGGTAGCTTTGAGGTCTTTTCTTTTTTCATGATATTCCAAAATCTCTCTACCAAGTATCTAGGAATGGATTTACTTTTTCTTTATCTTTCTTGGCACTCATTGGGTCCTGTCAGTCTAAGAACCATATATTCAATTCTGGAAAATTATTGTTATCATCTATTCAAATATTGCCTTTCCCTCTCTGTTTATTTATTTATTTTTTTTGGAACTTGTACAGGTATTCTCCAACTTACGACTGTGTTCTGTTTTGACGACTCCATCGTATGTCCATTCTTATGTAACTTGAATACCGCATTATTTTATTTTTTTCATTATTATTAGCTTTTATTATCAGTATCTTTATAAATACAATCTTTGTCTTTGAGGGTTGGAAAAATTACATATAAACTTACAGATATGATGACATTGGCAAATTACATGCTGCAACATTGTGTATAGTACATATTACTAATGATAAAAGGTACAAAAAAATCATAAGTGCAGTTTGTCATAATTGGAATATGTCATAAGTTAGAGACTACCTGTATTAGATAATGTTGAAATGTCTGGATCTGTCCTTCATACCCTGAAATCTTTTTTTTCTTTTTTTATTTAATAAAGCTGATGGCTTTTTTTTTTAAATTGTGCTTTAGGTGAAAGTTTACAGAGCAAATTAGTTTCCCATTCAACAATCTATACACAAATTGTTATGTGACATTGGTTGCAATCCCCACAATGTGTCATTACTCTCCCCTTTCCCACCCCAGTTTCCCCGTTTCTATCAGTACTATTTTCCTGTCCCTTCCAGCCTTTGCTTCTGGGCAGGTATTGCCCATTTGGTCTCATTTACATGACTGAGCTAAGAGGTCCATTCTTCCTGTGTGTTATTGTTTGTTTTATAGACCTGTGTAATCTTTGGCTAAAGGGTAGACTTCAGAAGTGACTTCAGTTCTGAGTTAAAGGGGTACCTGGGGGCCATAGTCTCAGGATTCCCCCAGTCTCTGTCAGACCAGTAAGTCTGCTTATTTTGTAATTTTTTTTTGGGAATTTGAGTTTTGTTCCACATTTTTCTCCCACTTTGTCTGGGACCCTCTATTGTGATCCTTGTCAGAGTGGTAGGTGATAGTAGCTGGGCACCATCTAGTTGTTCTGGACTCAGGCTGGTGGAGGCTGTGGTACCTGTGGTCCATTAGTCTTTTGGACTAACATTCCCCATGTGTCTTTGGTTTTCTTCATTCTCCTTTGCTCTGGATGGGATGGGACCAGTAGATGTATCTTAGACGGCCGCTCGCAAGCTTTTAAGATGCCAGATGCTACTCACCAAAGTTGGATGTAGAACATTTTCTTTATGAACTATGTTATGCCAATTGACTGAGATGTCCCCTGAGACCATGGTCCCCAGCCCTCAGCCTAGTAACTCAGTCCCTCAGGGTGTTTGGATGTGTCTATGAAGTTTCTATGAATTTGCCTTGGTCACATTGTGCTGACTTCCCCTGTAATGTGTACTGTCTTTCCCACTTATCTATTGTCTAGTTAGTGTTTTTCCTTCCCCACCCCTCCCCTCCCTTGTAACCATCAAAGATTGTTTCTCTCTGTGTGTAAACTTTTTCTTGAGTTTTTATAATAGCAGTCTCATATAGTATTTGTCCTACTGTGATTGACTTATTTCACTCAGCATAATGCCCTCCAGAGTTACCCATGTTATGTTTCACAGATTCATCATTGTTCTCTATCGTTGCATAGTATTCCATTGTGTGTAGGTATCATAATTTGTTTATCCATTCCTCTATTGATGGGCACTTAGATTGTTTCCATCTTTTTACTATTGTAAATAATACTCTTTTTTTTTGGTCACTCTATTATCCCTCTCTGCTAGAATGCATGCTCTCTTATTTATTGAGCTTTGTTCTCTCTTAATGATGTTGGCTGTTTTGCCTTGCTTGGTTATTTTGGGCTGCATGCTCATTTTCTGTGAAGAAAATCCCCGGCGGCCTCCTGGTGGGGCAGCCCTGTGGCCGTGGTCCCTCTCACACTGGAGCTTCCCAAATACCGTCTTTCTAGAATGTCGATTTTACTGAGAATTTACCTTCTTGTTGTCAGTTGCTGCTATCTTAAAATTTCTATCATTGCCATGGTTTTTGTGTCTGTGGGGAAATATATGCGTAGTTTTCCACTGGGAAACCAGAAATCTCTTTTTAGAAATATTTAAAGTTTTAGGTAATGTTGGTTTGTTTTCATTCATTGTGTGTAATTTTGTAGTTACTGCCTCCAGAGCAGCAGGAGAGCTCTGGGGTTCAGAGTGTGGACTCTGAGGTTGGCTGGCTGGGTCCCAGCTTTGCCACTAAGTGTGTGGCCTTGAGGGAGTCTCTTTGTCTCTTTGTGCCTCACTGTCACCCTGGTGGCACAGTGGTTAAAGTGATCGACAGCTAACCTAATGGTTGATAGTTCGAAACCACCAGTGGCTCCACGGGAGAAGGATGTGGCAATCTGCCTTGGAAACCCTATGAGGATGCTATGAGTTGGAATCGACTCAGTGGCAGTGGGTTTTCTAGTTTCTGGAAACCGAGGAAATAAAAGCACGTTACATGGAGTCCTTGTCAGATTACATGACATGAGACCCCGGCACATGGAAAACACGTCATATGTGTGAGTTCTAGGCCATGTCAAGTGATACCCCGTGTATGGTAGAAACTCTTAAACATGTAAATGATCGTGCCACAGTTGTGACTGAGGTTTAGGAAACTCTGCTGTTTTACACGTGAGTTAACAAAGCCCCAGGCTGGGGAGTCACCTGGCCACAGTCTGGCAGGAGGCCAGAAGCTGAGACCCAGGGTATACTTACAGAAGCTGCACCCTGGCGGTGACCGAGGAGGTGGCCAGCCTGACCTGCTGCCCGTTGCAGCACACCTGTGATCTCGTTAGCCCACCCAGACCATCTGTGGCTCAGTCCCGGGGCAGCCTGCCCCAACCAGACCGCAGCCAGGACAGTAGGAAAAGCCAGAGCGCTGGGAGTGGCCACCAGGGCAAAATGGGACCTTCCTCACTGCGCCCCCAACTTCCCCTGAACTGGAGACCCCCAGGCCGAGGGGTGGTGGGCATGGCTCTGTAAGTGGGAGAGGCTGCCCTGACGATTGCTGCCCTGCCTGTCACCTGAGTGGGTCAGAGCCAGCCCTGAGGGCAGAGGCCAGAGCATGGCTAGCGGTAGGGCACCAGGAGACCCTTCTCCTCCCCCTCCCCACCAGACCCCGCCCGGTTGTGGCAGCACTGCCTTTGCCTCCTCAGGTCATAGCCACACCCGTTACTCCCCCAGGTCCTCCCTCCTCCTGCGGTTCAGCACACACCGGGTGCCCTCTGCACCAGGAGCAGTGGACATCCCACTACCAGGCCAGTCCACCACCAAGCCCCGCATGCCTACCAGCTCCTCAGACCCCTCCTCCTTGCACCACCCCCCCACCCACCACGTGCAGGCCTGCTAGGTGGAAGGAGCAGCTGGAGGAGATGCAGACCTCCTGCCCTCTGCAGGGCAGAGATAGCAAGGAGAGAAGAGCTGAACGTGCATGGCCCTAGTTTGTGAGACACACCCAGAAAGTACAGCACCAGGGAGGGTGGACAGGACGTGGGGGGAATCAGACCCCCAGGCTCTGAGCAACACCGGAGCACCCCCTTCCCGCTCACGCTCACCCAGCCCTGGGGGATGCTGCTTCCTGCACTGACTCATGCCTGGGGAGGTCTTTCTCTGTGAACCCATTTCTTTATCTAGCTGTCTCCCCAACTTGAAATAACTGCCCCTGGACAAGACACCCACAGGCCGAGGCTGACCCAGGGCTCCCACAGGAGTCTGGGGGATGAATGAAGTCTCCTCACCCGCCACCCATCTGTTCCTCCTTCCTCGGTCCCTGCTGGGTCCAACACGAGCCCCATGGGGGGGTGGGGCATAAGGCCTGTGGGGTCCAGGCGGGGGGTGGGGACACACAGCAAGAAAAGACACCAGGACTAGCGAATATCGGAGATGCTGAGGTTTATTTGCAAAATAAGGGGTGGTGAAGATGGGGGTACTGCCTGGGTGCCGGCCCCTCTCCCACCCGGTCCTCCCCGCTCCCCCCGGCATCTGGCCTCGCCCACAGGCTGCCCTGCGCATACTCCTGTCCACAGGAGCCGGCGGCCGCCTGCCTGGGCAGGCCTTCAGTCTGCTCTCCGCTGGCCCCTGGCTGGCTGGGAAGCCATGGGGACACACAGCCCTCAGTGGGAGGTGCCTGAGGAGGATGTTCAGTTTTGCTTCCAGGTGTCCCTGTCACCAGGAAGAAGTAAGGCCGGGTCGGGAGACGGGGGAGGGGCTCCCAGGAATGGCAGTGAGAGCCCAGCGGGTTAGGTGGGCTCTAGAGCAGCCCCTGAGGGGTCCGTAGTGAACATGTTCTGGCTCCAGAGGACACGATGTCATCAGACAGCGGCGCCCCTATGAGAGGGCGGAGCTGTCCGCGGGAGCCGTGGGCTCAAGCGTGGGAACGCAGGACGGCCCGCAGCCGCACGCATCAACGTGGATGTAGGTGTGCTGGATCCGCCTCCCGTCAGGACACCGCAAGGTCACCGCCTCCTCGTGCGTCCTGGTCTCCTGACAACAGGTACAGTGGCGCTCCAAGGCCTGCGCCTCCGCTGAGTACCTGCGTGCAGAGGGCGCCTCAGCACGGCCCTGGGCCGGCAGCTCGAGCCGCCATGCATCCCAGACTGGTCCTGTGCTGTCCCCTGACCTCGGAGCAGGTGGAGCGGGCAGAGCCCGCGGACTTTACCGTCTGGGAGCTCAGGGTCCCCTGAAGAGGTCCGTCCTCCCTGGCCGGGCACCCTCCCCGCTCCCGGCCGACCCTCCTCCGGGGCACCTTCCCTGGACCCTTCTTTTCAGATCTGTCCTAGCGCTCAAATGCGCCTCTTCGCAACTCGGAGCAGTCTGGGGTGGGTGGGATCTGTCCGCAGTTCTGCCCCTGAGTTCGATTCTGCCCGAGCCTCCCTCCCAGCGGACATGCTCCTTGGGCTCGCCGTGGGAGGTTCGTGGCCCAATCTGGCCCCAGCCTGGCCGGGAGAGGCGGCCGAGGACCTGGGCAGCGCTCGCCCCCTCCCGCAGCCTCACGGGGGGGAGGCGCCTTCCGGGAGCGCAAGTGGCCGGTGGGGAAGGGCTGGGGCAGTGCCAGGTCGGGCACTGGGGTGACTGGGGGTGGTGGCTCTCGGGTGGGGGCGCAGAGCCCCGACTCACTTGGACACCCCGGGGCAGGAGCCCTCACAGAAGGTGAGGTTGACGGCGGCCTCGGTCTCGCAGTCGCGATGCCTCAGGACCGTCGTGTTGACGCGCACTTCACACTTATCTGGGAGAGAAACAGCAATGCAGGGCCCCGGCCGCCGAGGTATCGGGCACCCGGGGCGGGACCTGCTTTCCATCCGCCTTTCCGCTCAGGACTGCGTCTTCAAGCGTCACGCTCCCCACCCTGCCGCCCAGAGTGGTTTTCTGGGAGCCCCAGGACCCCAGGGAAAGCTCCCAGGGAGAAGTCGGGGTCGTCCGCCTAGCGTCAGATGGAGGCCGCCCTTGCAGAAGGAGGTGGCCAGGGCGGGAACCGGCCTCGACTTACCCACTTCCTCACAGGCATAGCAGCAGCCACTTTTCCTGAGGACCCCCTGCGGGCCGAGGACGGAGGAGCGACGGGGTGAGGCCTCGGGCGGCTGCGGGCTGGCCGGGAGAGGGGCCTCCGGGGGCCGGGGTTAGAGTGGGGCACGGGCGGGGCCTCCCGGGGCAAGGTCAGGGGTAAGGGGTAAGACCGACCGGGACGGGGAGACGTGGGGCGGGGTCGTCCAGGGGTGCGGTGAGGGGCAGGTCCTCCTGAAGTGGGAATGCTGGGTAAGGTGGGCAGGTCGGGGGAGGAAGATGAGGCCCCCTGGGTAGGGCGAGGGGTGAGACGGAGCAGGTGCAGGAGTGAGGGGGAAGGTGGGGGGGGGCGGGGCAGAGGGCGTGGTCGTAGGAGGGGCTGGGACAGGAAGATGGGTTTCCCTGGGCAGGGGGAGGGGTAAGGAGGGGCAGTCCCCCCCCCCCAGAAGCTAAGGTGGGCGGGCTGGGATGGAAGGGGCGGGGCCTCCAGGGACGGGCCGGGAGGACTGGGCGCACTTACCCTGCAGGTCGACACTTCCGGGCAGTGCGCGGGCTGCGGTACCAACATGGGGTATCCGTCCACGTCCTCACAGCGGTACTCGCTGCAGCTGTCCACGCGGCGGTTGACCCAGGTGTCGTTGTACTGAAATGCAGGTGGGGAAGCGGAGGCCAAGTGAGTCGCGATTTATCTCATGGGCCCAAGAGGACCGGGGTGAGGGTCTCCGCCACGCCCACCGCCCCACGACGTTACCGGCACGAGCAGCCCGTCGGGCGTGAAGCAGGCGAGCGGCACACAGTTCCCGCAGCACTCCCCGGCTGCCCGCCTGTACTCAAAGCCCTGCGCGGGAACAGGGGACGGGGGCGTCAGGTCGACCTGAACACACACACACCCAGCCTAGCCCCCCCAGCCCCAGCCTCCTGCCCTTCCTGAAACGCCCCCTGCGGGCCACGTTCTGCGCAGATCTGCCCTGCCCCGCTGTCCCGGTGTGGCCTCACCATCCCCTTTTCTCTGTCGACTCCTGCCTTCCTGCCTGGCCCCGCCCCTGCTCCCCGAGGGCCTGTGGCACTCAGAGCTGAGGGTGCCCTCAGCCCTTCTAGGTCCCTGGGTGTTCAGGGCCAGGAGCCTTGTCTCCTGTCTGGTCTTTCTGTATTTTGGCCCCGTACTCTCCCCATCCCATTTTACCCCACTCCCCCCACGGCCCACCGGGCACTGTGCCGAGCTCAGGACAGGGCATGCAGCTGGCACAGCAGGGCTGGAGGGCTTGTCAGCGACACGTGCGGGCTGGGCACCCACTTCCGGGGCGTCCACTGGGCGGTGGGGGGGAGGGGAGCTGGATTCCGGGGCCCACCTGGAGGCAGGTGGTGTTGCAGACATCCTCCTCGCACCGCACAGTTGGGGCCTGAGTGTCCCTGGACAGGCAGGTGCACGTGTGGCAGGGCAAGACCCCCAGGAAGGTTGCTCCGACCTGCGGGGGGTGGAGGTGGGGGCACCGAGAGGGTGGGGGTGGAGGAGCCATGGCCAAGCGGCCAGAGGTGCACTAGGGCTGTGCCCCCCGGCTGGGTACTCCCCCCAGCACCACCAGAGGCAGGACCCTGGGCAGAGAGGCCGGGCGGCAGGGTCCTACCCAGGGCTCACACTGGAGGAAGCTGCCGGGCCCACCTGATGACCCGCCCTTCCGCAACAGCAGGCGTCGGGGACACAGCCCCGCACCGCTCTCACTGGAAGGTGCCACCGTGGGTCCCCCATGTGCTCCACCCCCCGTGACCCCTACATCCTGGCGTTGGGTTGTGGGCCTGGGGCCCCGCTGCTTCTCTGCCGGTGTGGCAGGAAGGGGTAGCCTGGGCTGGGCGTGTCCAAATGAGGACAGGAGGGCCATGGCGAGCTCCCGGTGATGTGCCGGGGCCCTGCCCACCCAGGGCACGACCTCATCACCGCCCACACCCTCCCCTCGGACTGCACTCTGGGTCCTGGTAGGGCAGACGCCCTTCTCTGTAAGAGGAGTTGGTGGGCTGCGCCTTACCCCGTAGAAGATCCCGTTGTAGGTGCAGAGCTGAGGCCCTGGAAAGAAGGGTGGGCTGAGTGCTGCCTCGAGGCCTGAGCGCCCAAGGCCCCCAGCCCCGCCCAGCCAGAGTAGCGCTGAGGCCCCCCAGACCCACCCAGCCAACTCCCAGACCGCGAGACCAAGCCTGGGCCCCACTCACGGCAGCTGAAGGTGGGGCAGCAGGCGCCCTCCTCCTGGGTTCGGGTCAGCTCCAGGCGCGGCTCACACTTGGGTGGGTCCTGGGGGCAGGTGGTCGTGTTGCAGACTGTGGGCAGAGGCAGGCCATCATGGGGCTGTGGGAGGCCATCGGGGGCCTGCCCTCCCCTACCGCCAGCCCAACAACCCCCCAGCTTCCCTTCCGACATGTTAGCTGCCTGTGCAAGCGGTGTGGCCCCACATTTTAGCCCCAAAGATGCATTTTATTCATGGGCACACCCCGCCCCCTGACTGGCCCTCAGGGTCCCTCCCAAGCCCGTTCAGTCCATCACCTGCGGTGTCCTCTCTGCAGCCCCAAACTGCGCCTGGGTGGGCCAGAGCTCACCACCTCCCTTTGCACACTGCGTCCCCTCCCCTCCGCCTGCCCCAAAGGGCTCACCGCACAGGGTCTCGGCACAGCACGGGTTATCGGCCCGGGGCTTGGTCACCTTCACGAAGCCAGCCCGGCCGCACTCCTGAGGCTTCTCCTGGGACTCACACTGCACCGCTTGGCACCGCACGGTCACTGGGTTTTTCTCGCACTCACAGACCTGGCAGTTACTGAGCCACCTCTCCCCCGGCTGCAACAGACCATGTCAGGTCCCCCAGGGTGCCGGGCGGCCCCCACCCCGGGATGAGGCCCCTCAGGCTGCCCAGCTGCCTCTCCTGCCATCACCCTCTGCAAGGGCCCGGCCAACCCCTTCGTCAGCCTGGCCACCATCCCTCAGGCAGCCCTCTCAGGCGCAGACAGGGTAACAGGGGAGGGAGGACGTGCCGCTGTGAGACTCCACACCAGCCCCCTCCACCTGGGGGGTGTGCCAACAAAGGTGGGGCACGATCCCTCCCTTCTGGACCTCTCAGGGTGTTCGCATCAATGGAGGGCCAGGCAGGTAGAAGGCAGAGCCACTCACGTATTTGGGGAATCCATCTGGTCCCACGCAGGCTGCAGGGAAGGAGAACAGGATGCTGCAGTGTGCGGCAGTGATGGCGCTGCCAGGCCTGACCCGGGGGGCCGCTCAGGCCATGCCGCCTCCCCCCCTGCCAAGGCCTCTGACTTTCTGCAGGGTCGGAAGCCTCTGGAGGCATGGGGAGGGGGGCGGGGGTTGGGCTGGTGTCCAGCATCAGGAACAAGCTGCACACACTCGTGGTGGAAGCGCGCTCCAGTGGGACTCAGGCCCCTCAGACCATCACTGCCCTGGCCTTTTGGACATACCAAGTGGACAGGGTCCAGGTGACAGGCTAGGGGAGCAGGCAGGCTTTCTCCGGACATCCGTGCAGACTTGGTGCTTCAACTGTGGGGGCCACGGGGGCCCAGCTCAGAGCCCTCTGACTGCCTCCCTACCTCCTCCTCCTCTCTGGCTGCTGGGGTTGGGGACACGGGGTGAGGGACAAGGGCTACCCTTACGGTGGGAATGTGGGAAGCCCTGTCTATGGGAGGTATATGGGGTACTCACGGCACTGAGGCACGCAAATGCCAGTGTGTGCATTGAAGAGGATCTCACCGTCGGGACAGAAGCAGCCCTCTGCCAGCCCCGGGCGCAGGGGGCTTGGGTTCCTGTGAGGCAAGAGGGCAGTGCTAGGCCCCATGGTCCCAGGAGAGCCCAGTGACTGGGCCCCATCTCGGGCGTTCGGGCAGCACACAACGGGATGTGCATGTGTGTGTAGGTGTGTGTATGTGTGTGTGTGTGGAGTGGGCAGGGCTGCTTCTGGGGTCGAGGGTGAGGACACCCTCTGAGGTCTCCAGCTGTAAAGGAACCAGGAGTCTGGGGGGTTTCCTAAGAGCTGCTCCTGAAGAGGTACACAGGGAATTCTTCAGGGATTTCCAGGGGGATGGGAATGGGCACCCCAGAGATCTTGGGAACCCCAGCCTGCTGGCTCTGGGACCCAGCCCTCCTTAGATCTCCTCCTGGCTTCTTCCAGAAACTTCGGGCCTGAGAACAGTCCCCTAGTCTCATTCCTCGCCATTTACTCCTGCCATCCCTACCCTCTGTTCCTGAATCCCTTAGGCCCCCACATCGCCACCATCCCCCAATCTCCGCTGTCCCCCAGTCCCTGTTGTCCCTCCATCTACCCCCACATCCCCACTGTCCTCCAGCCCCTGCTCTCCTCCGTCTGTTCCCACATCCCCGCTGTCCCCCAATCCCCACTGCCCGTTCATCCCCACATCTGCACTGTCCCTCCATTTGTCCCCACATTCCCATTGTCCCCCAGTCCCCACAGTCCATCTATCCCCAGCCTGACCAGCATGCACCTGGAGTCACAGGTCTCAGGCTGTACAGGACCACACGGCTTGTACACCTTGGTGGGTGGGCAGGTGAGTTCTGCAGGCACAGAGGATGGGGTCAGATGAGCAGAGGTGGGCAGAACCCCCTGAGCCCCAGCCACTGCTCAACTCACCGCACAGCCCACTGGTGGCATTGCGCCAGTCACTGCACACACCCCGGGCACGGCAGAGTGCAGCGTAGGCCTCCACGCTCTCACAGAGTGCCCGGTGGTGGCCTCCCTGGCAGGTGTCGCTGACACAGGCACTGAAGAACTGGCTGGGCGGGACCAGGCTATGGCACTTGGCGAAGGCCCTGCTGGCGCAGGGGGCTGGTTAGGGGCCACTGTCCTGGGCTAGGGCAGGGTCCCCCCAACTGCTGAGCCCACAGGGATGGACTTACGAGCTCAGGATCAGCTTGCAGAGGGGAGCCGGGGGGCATGAGGGCGTGATGGATGGAGTGGATGTCACGGGTGGGGTGGACACAGCGGATAGAGTGGACACGGTGAATGGGGTGGGTAGGGTGGATGCGGTCGGTGGGGCGGACGAGGTCAGTGGGGCGGACGAGGCCGGTGGGGCGGATGAGGTCGGTGGGGCGGATGAGGTCGGTGGGGCGGA